GGGATTGGCTAGTAAAGGAGTACTAGTTGGAAAGGTCTGGCTGTTATCAGATCGATCGATGGAAAGTAACAAGGATTGGGAATTCTTCAACTTTAATGTATTGTGAAGACTTAGTCGAATCTAAGTGGGGGAGAATTATTTCGGGATTCAAAAGCAGGAGCGGTTTGAAAATGGGATAAGTTTTGCATCGTTGTCAGGAAGGAAGACAACCCTAGTGGCTGCTTGGTTTGAGTGTTATGTGAGTTGGGAGTTTGGTAAAACTCCCCAGCATGTGAATCGCGTCTTCTCGGTGCTTGATAGCAGAACTTGGGAAATCAGGTTGGGATTCTAGCCATGAATTAAGTTCAGTGGTGTGACAACCCGAAATTTCTATCTTGTACAAACCATTCACTTCAATCAAAGTCAGACTTGTTTTTGCTAACTTTTAGCACTGTTTAGAGTCAGTTTGAGCATTCTGAGCTTAGTACACCAAAGGAATGAGTGAAAGGAAGTGCCAATTGGAGTTGTAAACTATCAAGCAAGCCATAAACCCTCAAAAGAGGAGTTTACGGCCAGGAACCATGAGTTTACGGCCGTAAACTCATGGTGGCCGTAAACTCCATGATATATATAAAAACCTTAGTCATTTTTCAATCACTTTTCACATTTCAAGCCTAGAAATCGGAATTCTCTCCCAAGGATCATAAGATTTTGCTTCCAAACTTCAAAAATGTAAGTGATTCCTTCCTTTTTTGAATACATCACTTCTTCTTGATTCACTCCTGAATTCATCCACAAAGTTCATCTTTTGGATATAGATCTTCAAGATCATCAACAACATCAAGAACACTTAAGTGTTTTGGGCCGAAAACACCCTCATCTGCCTTCAAATTGTAAGTACACTACCCTTAGCTTGTTATATACTAGAATCACATGTTAAACACCTTGGAAACATCAAGAAATCAAGAACAAAAGGGTGTTTACGGCCAAGGCAATCTCCCTTGGCCGTAAACCCTAATTAATAGAGCAATGTTGCCACAACTCCTTCCTAAGCCTTGGAACTAAGTCTAGAACACTTTAAGGAAGACCATAGGCCCTTAACACACAAAATGGTACAAGTTACCATGAGTTTACGGATGTAAACTTATTGGGCCGTAAACCCATGGCTGTAAACTCATGGGGGTCTTACCATTGGGCCGTAAACTACTAAGTGAGGCCCTACACCCCTTAGATGAAACCCTTTGTACTTCTAGCACTTGAATAAAAGTGTTTTCCATGTCTTAGGGTGTCTTTACTTGCTTAATTAGTTGTTTAATCACTAATTAGATGCTTATATGTATCAATATATGATAAATAGGATCCGTGTGTATGCTCAAGTCTTCACTTGACACTTAGCATCCTATACCACTCGTTCATCCAAACCACTAACTACAGGTGAGTTCATACCCCTTAATCTACCTTTTTAATGGTTTTAAATGCTTTATGGGGGGGATACAAGTTGAAACATTGTAGTTATTATATCAATCACATGTGATTAATAACTAGAACAAACAAATAGATTTATTTTACTTCAAAACATTTTATCAAACTCTTTTATGCTAAACTCTTTATTAAACTTATATATTGTCAAAATCGTGTCTATATAGTATAGTTATATAAATAAGGTTGAAAGGACTTAGGACTGATAGCTCGCTTTATTTCCTGTTCCTTGTTTGGTTGTGGACTTAGAGTATTCGGTTGTTTGTCCGAGTGTCGTTTGAACCTTAGTTATATATTATGTATATGTATATAGATATAAAAGCTTTTATTTCAGTTCAATACACACACAGTCATTCAAACAACATTACTAGTAAACTATAATAGGTATAGTTTAAGAGATTAGTACGCACTATTTCTAGTACAATGAAACATACAAGAGTCAGTCCATTTATGAGTCAATACAAACTTACTATTATGAGAAACATAAAGTACTTACTATGATAAGAAACTAAGAGAACATATACTATACTATACAAGAGAACCTATTATACACTAGTACAGTGAGAACATTCAATACACTATAGCATACTATATAAATACTAAAATACGATAACTAGAATGTGAACTACTACTTCATGATACAACAATACATTGTTGTATCACTTTGTAACCAGAGTCTCCTGGAGGGAGAGCGGGGATCGTGTGTATAGATCTATACGGGACAGACACTCCCACACCCCGACTGCTAGCTACAGTTCCAGCCGGTAAGGCCAAGGGGTGACAAAATGTCACCTTACTATTTTATGACGCCAGAAGGTCGTCAGGTATTTAGCCGTCAATCAGCATGGTTACAAACTAATTCACATCTCAACCTTTAATTAACCAACTAGAAATTAAAGGCAGTAAGACTCACCAAGGAGTATAGTACATTTAATACGACCTTGAGTCTTCATTTTTATCATTTAATAGTCAGTAGTGCCACTGCTGAGATAAAACATTCTATTTTCCCTAATAGATGATAGTGATAAATGGGAGAAAACATACTTTTAACGCAGTAACAAAGTACTACTATATTTTTCCTACCATTACAAATACATATACAAACATTACATTTTTATACAAGAACAAACATGTAAAACACTCGGGCCTCGGGTAGAAGGCTACTTTATTTATAAACAGGAAATATAGGATTTTCTGGGAAAACTTTACAAACTTTTCATGGTTTTAATCCAAACATTTCGTGGTTTTTAACTACTAAATGACACTAATTACTTATGAACTCACCAGCATTTTATGCTGATACTCTCTTTCAAAATAACTTGTATTCTCAGAGAACCAGTAAGACAGGTACACCCATGCAGCTTTTGAAGGACGGAGTGGATCCAAGACTCGTCTTTATTTTGCTTGTACATTTTTGGTGTCATTTAAACCTTACAAAAGAACACACATGTATTTAACTATTCTATTAATGCAATGGATGTTGTTGCTTGTTTTTACTATTATGCATTGTTATGATACTGTACATGACGTCCTCCACCCCCGAATGTTTCCGCCAATTCGGTTTGGGGGTGTAACAAGTGGTGTGTTAGGTCGAGCGCGTGTTCGACCGGTATGGAAAGTGTTGTAAGACTGGGGGGGTAGCCGTAGCATTCACTAGCGATTAGTTGGTATGGAAAGTGTTGTAAGACTGCGGGGGTAGCCGTAGCATTCACTAGCGATCAGTTAGTATGGAAAGTGTTGTAAGACTGTGGGGGTAGTTGTAGCATTCACTAGCAGCAGATAGTGCTAGAGTGTTGTAAGTCTGTGGGTGTAGCCGCATCATTTAATAGGTTGGTAGATAGCATGAGCGCGTTGTTAGGACGTGGAAGGGATAGTAGTAACCACTAGTTCGGGGGTAGCAGTGAGGATATGAAAACCCACAGACTGGATTTCGGAATTACCCACACGGATTGGATCGGGTTGAGCCAGTGATAGGACTGCAGAAACGCCACTACAGTTAAGAGATCAAGGAAGCAAGGAATTGCTTAAGGTCGTTTGTCATATAAGTCTACTGTTGGTCAGGTAGCAATCACTTTTAGCCTTGGGTTTGGTGACGTCAGGATTTGACGCATGGGTCCGATCGGTTGGATCAGGAGGTTGTTAGAGTTGCAGTGGCATGATAACTAGTGGCAACTAGTTCCAGGGAAGGATTTCGTTCGGAAGTCGTGTGAGGCAACTATGTGGGAGTCCTTTAGGTCCGCGACCGGGCCGGAACCCGGTATTTTAGATGAGTGTTACTCAGTTGTGGCGAATCAGAGGATTTTTGGATGAGATGCAAGAATAGGTCCTCGGATTTCAAGTTATGGGTTAGACCCGAGTTATATATATAGTGATATTCCAATCTAGGGTATTCCATCATGAGGATGACCGGACCCTACGATTGAGTGGACCTGACGTGTTTCGTATTCCAACCCGAGGGTTGATTGGACCAAACATGTGTGTGATACGAGGGTATTCCATCCTAGGGATGACTCGACCCGCGGTAGGCATGCCTGGTATTCCAGCCCGAGGCTGATTGGACCAGGTGTGAGTGAGTGTGCTTATGAGCCGGTTATTATAGGTATGTGGTTTGGGAACTAAATGAAGCATTGTCTTATTGATCCAAAAAGGGGTTCATCTCCCAGTTTACATCTTGTTGTTCATTATATCCCTAGGACTTGGTTATCAAGGCGAATTTCTCTTGAAGGATTACCTAATCTCTTGTCAAGAAGAGAGTTACAAGTAGCAGTGTGGGATTTGTGATCCCGTTTTCAGGTGGAAACCCCTAGGTTATTAGCAGTTGAGTAGCTAGTTGGGAGATAAGTGCAATGAACTCGGAAATGATCCAGTGTGGGCGGTCTGACAAGAAGCCAGACCATCTCAAAACTCCAGATTTCGGATTGAGTAAATGTGATCATATTGTAAGGGATTCGTTTATTTTCCTGGTTTTAGAACCCTGCGAGGGTTGGATATGGTTGCCTTGGAAAGGCTGGGTTTATGCTCGGGGTTATAGTCGTGTTGTTTAAGTTTACTGGTGTGTAAGGGATGATAAGAAACGATTTCGAGGAAGAAATCAAATTTAAGTGGGGGAGAGTTCTGACATCCCATTTAAAATACAATAATTAAGTAATAAATCTGAAACCCCGAGCAGCAATTATTATTATTATTATATGTTATTATAGTCCAAAATCAGATAATAATTATCGGAATGTGAGTTTCGGGGGTTAAAGAATAAATATTGGACTTAATTTGAAAGGATCTTGGATGGCTGGGGCTTAAAGGGTCAATTATGTGCTTAAATTGAAAAGAATTGGTCATGGCGGGGCCATAGGGTAAGTATTCGGACTTGAGATGTAATGATTTTCGGAAGGGAGGGTTAGATTGTAAATTAAGGACTTGTTTTGAAGAGAATTGGGATGTAGGGGTTGGAAAGGTAATTATGGGAGGAAATATGTGCATAACCGGGTATGAACCCGTCACCCTCTTGGCTGCCTCCATATAAAAAGCATTAAACCCTAACCCTAATGTTAACTCCATCAGCCACCATCACCCTTATGCCCCCTTCACCACCGATGTCGCCGATGTTGTAGGAGTCGGAGAACCACTACCTTATTCCTCCATCTTCCAGCCGCCCCTTTTATCCATGTTCCGATCAGGCACGACCGGCGAGTCCAACCGACGTCGTTACCGCCAGTACATCTGTCAGCCACGCCGGTTGTTGATCCCGAAGATGAAGACGATGTGGATCATGGGAGGGCGGTCGTTCTGCTGCTGTTGCTTCCATCATTCGTTGTAGCTTCCATCATGTCGCGAATCGATGTGGGCGGCTGCCAACTGCCATGGCCGCCGCTGTGCAGCTGTTATTATCGCCGGACGCTATGTTGCTCCTACTGTCGTGCAATGAACGCCACCAGGTGGGTGGCTGCTTTCGGGCCTAGAGCAAGGCGTGGTTACTGTTACATCTAGTGTTGTGCGGATTGCTGCTGCCGGAAAAACCCAAGAAAACCCACCATGGTTGCCGGCCATGGTGGCTGCCACCGTCAACATCGTTGTTGTTCGCTAATTCCGTTGTACACCATCGTCGCCGCCTGCTACCCTTCTTTCCGTCGCCACTAGCCACCGTGGATGGTGGTTGTGTGCAAGTTTTGCTATGTAATGAGGTGTGTATTGCTGCTGTGAGAAGGTGTTGTGTGTGGGTTGTTTGGCCGGAAATCACAAGAAAGACCACCACCACCACCGTGAGGTAGTGGCTGCCGCCACATGCCACCGCCGGCCACCACAAGGGTGGTTGCGTGTGTGTGTTATTTTAGTGTAGTGTGTGTGTTTATTTTGGGTGTTCATTGTAAAAATTGTAAAAGCCAAAAGAATAATGAAAGAAACTCAAAACCACCACCATGAGGTGGTGGCTGCCGCCTCCTGCCGTCACCGCCCGCCGTGTCGGGTGGCGGTGTGCTTTGATTGCGTTTGGACCTCGTTTGGGGGATGTTTGGACAATATGGGCCCAAAGAAACCCTAGTGGGCCCAATGAGACCTAAAAGCCCAACCGATGGACTAATGAACTAGTATTGGGTTGGAAAACCCTAATTAGGGTTTGTAAAACCCTAAGGGCATAAAACCCTAACTTATGGATATTGATCGGGACACACACACAGGAATTATTTAATAAACTTGAAATATTAAATAATAATCATTGGCAATCTAACTTAAGGCAATAATGGACTTAATGGACCAAGTCCTTAATGGATTAAGTCCTTAATGGGTTAAGTAAGAAACACTTAACCCTAATCATCATTTCATGTGAAAACCCTAATTTTGGGATTATGGGCTTGGACTCATTGGGACCCACTTTTGGGCCATTGGAATGGAATTGTGGATTAAGCCCAAACACACCTTATGACTTATTTAGTAAAGTGAGGGACTTAATGGATTAAGTCTATAATGGGTTATGTGAGAAACACTTAACCCTAACTGTCATTTTATGTGAAACCCAAATTTCACTTGGGTTTATTGTTGGGCCTTCTTTTGGGCCTTGATGATTAGATTATTAATGGGCCATCAAGATCAAGCAAATGGACTAGAATAATTAATGGGTTCTAGGATAAGGCCCATGCGAGAGACTTGGGCCCAATTTGAAAAATTGGGCCATAGATGGGCCATAATTGGGCCTTTATGATTATATGATACTAGGCCTTAAGGAAAGACCATTTAGAGGTCTGGGGCAATTTTGGAAAATTGGGCCACATGTTGGGCTTTGGCCCATTACTTGACTTTTAGGCTTTTGGTGTGTGAGCTGGACCTTGGGCTTGGAACCCAATTATTAATTAGGTGTTGTTTGATGTTGACAGTTCGGGAAGCTGTCAACCAGCAGTTGGAGTTTTATCCGGGGGACTTCAGCAGTGCCAGGTGAGTTATGCTCACTATATCAACAGGGTATAAGGCACCAATGCCGGCCCTTTATGGATTGTATTCGGATTATTGCATGTTATGCTTACTGATTCACATTCTGGTAGTTATGATGGTGATATGCTATGCTTTAGTGACCTGGTTGGGTCGGCATCCTGGTATATAGGATGATGCTATGGTAGTGACCTGTTAGGTCGATATCCTGGTTATGGATTGTTGTTATGCTTTGTGATATGTTAGATCGGTTTGACTGTTATATATACATGCTAGTGTTATGTGATATCTATGTGCACATGATTGTCCTGGTTATAGGATGATGCTATGTTAGTGACCGGTTAGGTCTATATCCCGGTTATCGAGATGCTGCAATGATTAGTGATTTGTTAGATCGGTTTGACTGTTATATGATATGTGCTAGCGTATGATATTTATGTGCACATGTTTGTTTGATTGGGGGTTGGGTTGAGGCGCTCCTGCTTTGTGCTGTAGGCCAACATACCCGGTGAGCGGTCCGGATAGGCTGTAGGCCCTGCGAGGCGGTCCAATCAGGCTGAAGGCTCGGGAGCGGTCCAGATAGGCTGTAGGCCCTGCGAGGCGGTCCAGTCAGGCTGAAGGCTCATTATACATATTGTTGTGTATTTGTTATATGATATGGTTATATTTGTATGGCATTGGTATTTTGGGGAAAACTCACTAAGCTTTGGGCTTACAGTTGTTGATTTTATTTCAGGTATTTCTGATGATCGCGGGAAGGCGAAGGCGTGATCGTGAACCTCCTCATATTTGCATGATTGATTCAGGGGATACTATTCTGGGGATACTTTGATGCCTAAACTATTTTGAAAACAAATTGTAATAACTTAATGGTTTTAAATGTTTTAAAAACTTTTAATTGGCTTGAATTTTATGGGTGTTACACGACATATCATATAATCAACTAACAATCCATATATCATGTAATGGGCCGGCCTTGGTGCCTTGGACCCATAGGTATGGTTAGAAGACTCACCTCTCGATAAATGTTGAACTGATAAGATAAGTCCCAACTTGCAGCTCCAACTCAAATGTCTATAACCATCATGTGATTAACTTTCTCAAAATCCCGAAATACCAAAAATACCCTTAAAGTCAAACTTCGTCAACCAGGACAAGGTCAAAGTCCACAGTCATGGTCAACAGTCCATGTTGACCCCAACTCGTCGAGTTCCTCCAGTGTTCAGAAGACCTGGAAAAACCCTAGCTAACTCACTGAGTTGTCTCATCAACTCGTCGAGTTCACTCAGTATTCAGAAAGCGGGGTAACTCGATCCAACTCGACGAGTTTCCAGGGCAACTCATTGTGTTTTCCCCAGTCTAAACCTATTCAGCCCTTTTTAGTCGAATCTAAAGCTCCAAACTACAGATCCAGTCCCCTAGGGTGTAGTTACCACGTAAAGTTTCCAACTTTACATGCATGCAAGGTTTCAAGGGGCTAAAAATGCTAAAATCAAACTTGATAATAGGTTTAGGGCATGAAGAAAGATCAAATCTTGATAAGGTCAATTACTTTATGACAATAGGGGCCTAAAAGAGTTCAGATCTGAAGTTACAACTTCAATTCATTCCCAACTTCCAAAGATTGGTCCAAAATGGGCTAAAAAGGTCCTAATCTCTTGAATGGAGATATCTAACCAAAGAAAGATCAAGGTAATGGCTTTTTACCTTCAAATGGTTGCTACCACCAAGTATATGTTGGATCTTTAAGCCCCTTCTCGTTCCAAGCTCTTGATTCCTTGAGTTCTTCAAAAATAATGTACCAAACACACTCTTTAGCCTTGCACGCACTCAATATGGAGGGTTATCTCGATTAGGGCTTGCTTCTGGACTGCAGAGACGATAAGGGAGGCCACAATGATCCATAAGTTCTTTATATAGGGTGCAAAAAACCCAAAAAAATTAGGGTTTTCCTTTCCAGCGCCTACTCGTCGAGTTGGGGCTCCGAACTTGTCGAGTAGGGTCCTTAACACGCGTCCAGAAAAATTTCTACACGACGAGTTGGAGCTCCCCAACTCGTCGATTTCCGATAAAAAACCCTAAAACTTGAAAAAAATATATTACCTGAACCAAGCGTTACAATGACCCAGATGATGTTTAATGACAATGGATCCAATTGGAATTCTCAAACACATCAATGATTGTAGAATCATGTATAAGTTACGGTTGAAATGGATTTAGGGACAATATGAAGAAACCAATGGAGTCCTGTGTAGTTGTGAGATTGATGTGTAAAGGAAGTTCACAATTATCAATGGATACTCTTGTAATGATTTGAAATCAAAACATAAGGTGTTACTTGATTCCTAGATTGATAAATGGAGTTACTGGTTAAAAGGGAATTTTGGGAAATCTATTTATAAATATATAAGAAGTGAATGACATTCATGAACATGAATTGACACTCTAGATATGTTATTTAAACATTAACATGAAGGAATGCTAGTGAAGTTCTAGCTCTAGTGGTTGTTTTGGCCCAAGGGTATTTGGGAACATGGAATGGAATTGAGGATTCCATAGTCACATTAGGTACCTACAATGATACTGGTTATGGTTTTATGTACTTGACAACACCCAATGATGTATTAAATGATTTGGGAATGAGTCATATTGGGTAAAGAGTGTTCCTAATCAACATGAGCTCTGAACCCTTTCTTTTGAGTGATTGAAAGAATTATGAGCTTAACATTTTGATAATGGTCTAAATGATTAAGTCATCATGATGATAGGGGTTAATTGATTATTTTAGAATTTGATAGTCCTTATTATGTCCTTAAAAACCTTTTGGTGAAGTTTGGTAGCCATTGGAGGTCTAGAAAATAAGTTACAAAGTTTTTAGCAAAATTCTGCACAAAATGGTGACCTGCAGTTTTGCCACGGGGACGTGTCAAATAGTCTGGTAAATGTATTCTTTTAGTTGAAAACCTAGTAAACGACCTCCGATTGCCCTCAAACTTTATATATAAGCTAATAGCAAGTATATAATCTAATAAGGGATACCTAAATGTTAAAAATCTTAGAAGGATATTGTAACATCCCAAAAACACAGTCTGAAAATTTCGTTTTAATTTAATAATAAAACCATAGTCATTAAACATCATATGAAAATCATAAACAGTGTATCTCAAAATATCGTAACAATTGTCAAAATATCATAGTAGAAACATCCCAGGCTGAACAAATGGTGTGTGCACTACAATCCTCCCGAGCTCCTCTTTTGAAAACTGAGTACCTGAAACCAAAACTAAAACTATAAGCACGAAGCTTAGTGAGCTCCCCCAAACTATCTCATACCATACACTAGTATATAAAGCAACTACTGGGCCTTGCCCACTGCATCGGACCGAGGTCCGGAAACTGCATCGGACCGAAGTCCGGAACTAACCAGGGCCTTGCCCTCTACATTGGACAGAAGTCCGGAAACTGCATCGGACCGAAGTCCGGAACTAACCAGGGCCTTGCCCTCTGCATCGGACCGAAGTCCGGAACACATAACACAAAGACATGCTTGAATCACAAATACATCAAAC